ATGTACACCAAATGAAAGGTATGATGATTGGCTACACAGCTGTGGCATCAGAACGAAGCTCGGAGCTGACTGGCTGATTCTACAGTCAGTCAAGCCCAGGATGCGGAAACTGGAAGTTGGTGACTTCTCATATATTATTGGCCCTGGACGGCCGATACTTGAACACAGTTGGTCAAATGAGATGTCAATCAAAAGAGGAGGGCCTGGACGTCCATTTTGATGCATTGCACACGGACACAGGATGAACAGAAACACAGAAATGACATTTCAAAATAAAACGAAACAAAAACGGCACGCGGGCGTTCCGCTGAATGTTGCACCAAACTGGGACAAAGAAGTTAGAGCAACTGGACACATTTTCCCTTCTGGTTTCCTCCTTTGTGTGATGGTTTCCTGCTCGTAACAAAAGCCTCCTTCAAGCCTTTGAAAAGCATGAATGCTTCAGTCAATTTGCATAATGTGGCTTCCCCCGTGTTTGGAGTGAATCTGATTGTTTAATTTCAATCACATCCTCATTAACACCGAATTTTTACGCCTTTTTTATTTTTTGGACCGCTTTCATCCCTCCGGCTAATCGTCAAACAGAAACAGACGCCGRCTCGCAAATAGATTTTTGCAGCTTGTGTTCTGCTCTCTGAAACTCGCAGCTCCTCCGTCACGCGCACGTTTAATTCAAAGCTAACAAGTAATTATCAAGTGTTAATAAACAGGACTGACAGAGCCACTCGTGCAGYGACGGAAAAGTTGCTGGTAAAGCTGGTGTGTGTGTGTTTGTGTGTCGCAGTTTAATTATTGCACAAGTTTGTTGCTCGACAGCGTTTATATCAAACGCTTTCGTGGCAAATTATTCCCAGCAGAAGATTAGGGAAGAGGAAAATGTCGAGGCTGATGACAAATTTACAGCTGAAATCCTGGACGTGCTGCGAGGTTACACCGGCGTCTAATAGCTGTCGTCTTTCTGTCAGAATTAAGTTTGCAGCTGAAAAATGAGCTTTGACCTGAAAGGAAAAGGAAACCAGTTTGGATTAAAAACCTTTCAGCTAATCTGCAGGCTTCATACGCTGAAGGAGTGCATTCTCGAAGTCGGCGTGTTGTCATTCAGTCACGTGATYTCAACCTCCATTTTTGTATGGGGGGAAACTCATTGGGAGACTCCGTTACAAACTGTGTCAAAAGTAGAGACTTCAAACTATACAGCAGTTTTTAAGTTGTGTTGTTAGGTCAAGAGAAGAAAACCAGAGTTATGATAAATGGCATATTTTACAAATTTTTTTCTGAAAATGAACGTTCTATTTTGAAGCGCGTTGCAGCTGAAGGGAGCAGGAAACACGGTAATCCCGTGGAAAAAACACCGCTGTTCATCGTCAGTCTCATCTTTCTCTTAAACCGAAAAAATATAACCACCTAGACCGCCTTTTTGACTGAAGCTCAAAGTTATCTGACAAGCAGTAAAAAATCTACAGGAAGAAGAAAATAAAAAGAGGCGAAATTTGAATGGAGATTGGCGGCAATGAAGAGCCGGTGAGAGCAGGACTTTATTAGATCTGTGACTTTTAACGTGTTTGGATTTTATAGTTAGTGTGTAGTTTTGAGTGTTTACTCTTCAGTTTAGTCAGTTTTAGTGTTTTGAATCAAAACAATGAGGCAATTCTTTTTAAACAAGGAGAAGCACGCTGAGGCAGCACGACAACACGTGTCTTATTTCTCTCCCCTCACTTGGAAAAAAATAAATATTTTATCTCTGGATGTATTTTTTGCGTGAGAAGTGCGGTCCTACAGCAACTTTTCATCATTTTTCCAATTTTCCACATAGAGGAACTCCTCCTATTTTCCCCCAAACCAATAATGTCAGCTTCCGTTTACAACATGGTCAYGTGACAAAGTACCCGGCTGTTCGACGTTGAGAATATCGCCCGCTGCCTTTCAGAGCTTTAAACCAAAATCAACTTTTAATRAGAACTGTTGAAGCTGCAGCTTAGAGGGTGCTTTGTGAATGACTCTCAGCTACTACCACGTTAAATTTCAACCTAAAATCTGTATAATTCACTGAGATATGACCATTTTTATGTAATGTTGCTGTGGCGGCCATCTTGAATTGGAATGACCTCAATTTGCATTTCCTGTGAGAACGTTTGTCTCTGAAAGGTTTTTGCTACAAGCTGCTGAAGAAGCTTAAAACGTTTAACAATAAAACTTTTAAACTGAGTTCAGTTTGAACAGCTGGTGTTTGCTGAAAGAAAGAAAAAAGTTAAAAATTTATATCAAAAATTATGCTGAAAAAGCTCAATTGAGCAGAAATGTAGCTAAAAAAGGCAGAAACAAGTTAATTTAGGTGGCAAATGGTAAAAGGACAGTAAAAACAGTCCACATGAGCAGAAAAACATGAAAACGAGTTCAAAAAAATTTGTGATAAAATAATTTCAAAAGCTAAAACAGCTGAAAATCACTAAAAATGTAGCTGGAAAAGCTTAAATTAAAACAAAGAAGCTGAAGTAGTGTTATGTTTGCTAAATTCCTCAGTAAGAAGTTGTAATTATGACAAAAAAAACTTTTGGAAAATACATGAAATTAGCTGAAATCAGGTGAAAAGCAACGTAAAAGGCAGGTAACAGCTTAAATTTGCATAAAAAGCAGAATAAGTGTAAAATAGCARAAAGGAGCGGAAAGTTAGCTGAAAAAGCTTAAAGAAGCCAAAGAAAGCTGAATTCAGAAAGAAAGAAGCAGAACCAGAGTAAACAGTAAAGATTTCTGAACATTTTGAAGGTTTTTAGGATGCTGAAGACAGCTCCGTTCATTTTTCATGAGAAAAGTGGCCAAAAAAAGCTAAATATCTGAAAAAAACATAAAGTCAGCAGCCATAATGAGCTGAACATTTTTACACACGAATTGATGAAAAATCACAAAAACTGTGGAACTGGTTACGTGCCGAAAAACGTACAGATGTCATGTTAATGATTGGATATTTTACTAACAGACACAGTTGGTGCTTAGATCTTGTGCTGTGAACGACTCTCAGCTACTACCACACCAAACTTTAGCTCAATATCCATAAAACAAAACAAAATTACAGCTGCTGTCTTACATCGACTTCAAAGTGAATTTGCACATAATAATCATGAAAATTTAATTAAAATCTGTGCAATGCTTCATAAAATATTTTGCTAACAGACACACACACACACACATGCTAAAGTAAGAAATATGTGCTTTAAATGTTAAAAAACTAAACAAAACTCCTGTGTTCTGTGCCATAAAGAGACAAAAATAACCTTTTTTTTTTTCAGCAGGTTTGATTTGATTTTTCTTCCTGAACAGAAACATTAAATAATTTTTTTACGTTCTGCAGAAGAACAAGGTCAGCCCTGGTGTTGAAGGTTAATTACATGTCTGAACGACAATTTAACACTTCCTTCTCACTGTTAATCAAACCCTTTTTATTTYATCATTATCCCTTTTTGTTCTCAGCAACAATGAAATAAAAAGAAACGTTTGATGTTTACACAGAAAACAGTTTTTTTGTTGTTGTTTTCCAGCTGGACCTGATTCAGTCTGCGAGTCCTTCAAAGCTTTTAAATCCTCACAAAGAGACTAGAAGCTCTTTGGTTTAAAGGAAGTGATTTTTATGCTTTCCTGGTATTTTTGGACAAAACTGCAGTTTTTGTTTTTGCCATGGGCAGAAATAAATGAAACAAACAAACAAACATTCAGTAAAGATTTTGATGCCAAAAATGAAACAACTGCTTTCAAKGAAAACATATTTTAACCTGTTATAAGAAAGATTTGTGTGGATATTTGGATTATTTGACATAATGTTTTTATTGTTGTGTTCATGTCTCAGATAAAAGCCATGAGAACTCCAGCAGGTCTGTTTTTAACCGTAAATCCAGAGGGAACTCTCTGTTCTGCTTATGTGAAGAACAGATGTTCTGTTTTTTATTTTATTTTTTATTTATTTCTCACTCTGAGAAATAAACTTCCTGTTTGTGAAATTGGCTCGGACTGAAGCGTGGAGCAGATTATTTCCCACCAGGACTCCAGTTTCTAAAAAAAACAACAACTTGGATCATGTTTGTGAAGAGCCAACGCTCAGAGCTTAAAGTGGCTGTGACATCWAATTTTTGTGATAAATATGATTGCACTTTTGGAAAGATGACACGGATAACATTATTACAAAAGCAATTTAACACAACTGAGATGAACAGTCGTTGAGATATTTGCATGTGAAGTAACAGGAAGTGATGTCAAAGGGGAATGTCTGAAAGTAAACAGAACGCTGCAACAACGGCTAACAGCTCAGACAGTAGGGGATCTTCTGATGTTTCTTTGGATAATTTTAGTCCCTATAAGAGAGAGATGAAGACGTGTCACAGTTAAAAAATTATTGTTTTAAAACAAAGACCAGAGAGTTTTCTTTCTTAAAGAGTTCCCTTTGATGTCACTTCCTGTTTCACTTAAGATGAGCCGAATTCAATGGAAAWTWTGCCAGTTATGTGACTTTTTGTATTTGAAGGATAGGCAAGTCACATGCACTTTAAACACATCAGCTGCAACCTTGTTTTTTTTTTTTTTTTGGTTTGATTTTATGATATTTATTTTATATGTGTGTAAACCACACAAACACAAAGCAATAAGACAGGTTGTGTGTTGGTCTCAGGTCCACAGAAAGACCTTAAACCCAGTGTTCAACGAGACGTTCCAGTTTGGCGTGCCGCTGAACGAGCTACATTCCAGGAAGCTGCATTTCTCCGTGTACGACTTCGACCGTTTCTCCAGACACGACCTGATCGGACAGGTGGTGGTGGAAAACCTGCTGGACTTCAGCGAGGACAGCGGGGACAAACCCGTCTGGAGGGACATCGTGGAGGGCCACGCAGTGAGTGGATTCAAACTCACACACCCTGATGGGATTCAGAACTAATGATGCTAGTTTAAATATAGAGTCATGTGTGTTTATTTTATTATTTAAATCTTCATTTAATGGAGTCTGTAGGAGGCAGAAAAGTTGAGTTTGGATTTAAAGAGACTGCCTCAACACTAGGGCTGTGTACTGGTAATAATTTGGTGATATATGTATCATGACACGGGTCGCGATACGATATATCGCAATATATTAAGCAAGGTGTAATATTGCGATATATTGCCATTTTTTGTCCAAAAATTCTATTTAAAAAAGCTTGACTATCTTGAAATATCTGTATACATTATAAATTATAWTTTTTATTCAATATAAAGAAGCCTAATTTAAAACCCTGTCAAAAACTGTAAAAAGCCCCAGTTTGGTAGTTCTGGCTTTTCTCATAATTTGGCTAAAAAAAAAACAGTTGTCGACCCACAGGGGCAAACGCAGGTTGTTCAGGTGGTTACAAAACCCGTCTGTTTCACAGTAATATGTTTTATGTTTAATATTTATGCTTGAYGTCACGTTGAAGAGTAAATTCTATCTAAGGAACACCTGTCAGGGCATGGAGCTTATAGGTTTTGTTTCAACCTAGTTTAGAAAGTTTTCTTTATTCAAAAACATTYGTGTCTAATAAAGTAGGTGAGCAGCCTAGGCATGCTAGTCTCCTCTCTGATGCTAACGCCAGCTTATCCATGCTAGTCACTAGCCTCTCCAATGCTAACACCAGCTTATCCATGCTAGTCACTAGCCTCTCCAATGCTAACACAAATGAATAATCTCCTTCTCATTTGCCCGAGCTGGTCTCTGTTACTGGGGCCAGCTGCTCAGTTACCGGTGCTGGCCCATCATTATTCAGATCAATAGCTAGCTTAGCAATAGATATAGCCTCCTGCTACAAGGATGTAGCAAACAGTCGTTATGCAATAGTCTTAATTTTGGCCCTCATACTGAGCCAAACTTAAAGGGGGGTGCAAGTACGCCAGTCATTTCAATGCACTGTTTCATGTTGTTGTTGCATTTGGCCACTTCAATATCATTCTTCAGGGACCTCCTGAGCTTGGGGTGCTAGACAAATACCTGCCTTACATAATTTGACTACAATCAGAAGAAAGAGCGAGAAAGGGACACTGAAATTTGGCTTAAAATACAGACATCCCAGGTAATAAGAGTGTTGGCAACTCTACCTCAGATTTGAATGTAGCGAGTTTGGCGGTCTAATCCACTCCGATTTTATTGCTAATGTCTGAGCTACTGTTTTACTCACTGGCTCCTCAGTAGTGGAGGAACCAGATGGCTGGCTGACTGCTGCCAACTAGTGGTCGGAGGCTAAACTACAACATAAAAATGAACTGCTGGCATGAAAGTTTACATTAAAAATCTGTACAGGGCTTCAGAGAGTCGATACAGAATCAGGAAATTAAATATCGCAATATTTCAGTGTATCGATATTTTCTTACACCCCTACTCAAATGAGTTGGTCTGAGACACACCTCAGAAAAGGGGCGGGGCTTGTGGAGTTACACTAAGGGGGAATTCAGACCAAAGCATTGCAGTTCCACTTTATATAGACCCCAACTGAAGGTGTGTCTCAGACCAACTCATAAAATAGAATTTAAAAGCATGTTAGGTTTATGTTCAATCAATAAAAACAAACAGTTTACCAAAATAAAACTCCAAATATTTCAGTTACACATCAATCAAACTTGCACAATAGTTTATTTTTGTGTTTCTAATGACAATTTTGAGTGCTGGCATTATGAGAAGTTTATTTATTTAAACTTAAGCAGCTGCTTGTGAATAATTGACAATTTAACCCCGTATAACTGACAGCATTGTGAAAATATTACTTTGCAACTTGACGTCTGCGTGTTTAATCATCCCAAAGATGCGTTTCTGCGTCTCTGATTCAACTGGATGGTTTGGATCAAGAAAATCAAGTTGAGTCAAAAACATTTTGATGCTCAGTTGGTTTCGATGAATTCAGGCGTGAAAAACCTTTGGCTCTCCGACGAATCACAATCACTCAGACTACACCGTGTAACCAGCCAAGTTTCTATCAAACCTGTCAGGTTTTTTCTTCTTCTTTAGATTCAAATGAAATAAATTCTGTCTGTTATCCAAAGAACCTTCTGTGTAGGAAAAAAAACCTGTCTGCTGTAATTCAAAGTCTGCTCATGTGAAGAATTATCTCCCAGGAGTCCAGCTAGATTACTGGAAGGGCTCTGCTGGCCACGTCCAAACTTTGGTTTGTTTCCAAGAAGATTTATATGAAATATTCATAGAAGGCTATTAGCAAATTAGATATAGCAAGGCTTAAAATTGTTTTGGCACAGAGGTTTAATTTATTAAATAAGTTTAAAGCATCAGCATCTCCATGTATTTCAGTGTTTCATTTTGGGGAATATTGATTAGTGAGGCTTAAAGCCACGAGGACTCATCACGCCAGGGTGACCTGAATACCAGAACCTTCTGGTGCCTCTCAGGCCCGACTGCTGTTTCAAAAAGTTTTTATCGTTTCATCCTTGTCTCCACGCAGAWACTCTGTTTTAGGAGCTCCTTCTTGCTTTTATTTTCTTCTTCTGTCTTCACAGTTCAAACCATAGACCTTCATTATTGAATCAGTAAAGATGGATTATWWATTCTATAGTCCAGRGGTTCCCAAWGTTTTTGTTGCWTAAGGACRAATTCAGACCAAAGCTTTGTAGTTCTACTTTATAAASACCCRACTGAGGGATTTAAGTGTGAAAAAGAAGGATTTAAAAGGATCACATGTCTACTTTAAAATAATGATTGAGAAACAGAWTCCATTTCATGATAATGATGTAAAACATTTTTAGATTTATTAAATTTTTATTTGTTTTTCTTATCTTCCCTTTAGCTTCCTGAGAACTGCCTTAGTCTACGGTTAATATGAATCCAGTCTAATTGATGATGCCTTTATGTGCAGCTTGTTTCCTGTTTTTGATGTATTTTTGGATTACAGCTCCTCACACAGGCCTGGCATAGTTACTGCAGCATTTTAGGCCATTTTTCATTTTTGGRATGAAATCATATGTAGGAACTGTGTCGAGTTTAAGAGGATATTTTTAGAAATGACAAATAAAAAAACATGTTTTGGGGAAACTGGACAAGGCTGTGACCACATGCAGCCATGGAGTCGCAAGATGGAGGAAGAGATGAGAGATTTACACTCTTCCCCACTGATTTTGACAGATTATGATTCATTAACAGCAACGACAGTTTCCCAAACACTCCGCCCGTTCACGTTCAGACCCTCGCTACCCCCCCCCCCCCCCACACACACACACACACATCAATCATAAACGTTGCTCCTTTCAGGCCGCAGATCATCACGGGTGTTTCTGATGTCATGTTTGAGTGATCACAGCCTCCCCACTCAGTTTCTAATCCCTGTCTGTGTGTGACGATCCGCAGGAGAAGGCCGATCTCGGGGAGCTTAATTTCTCGCTGTGTTACCTGCCCACTGCAGGCAGGCTCACCGCTACAATCATCAAGGCCACCAACCTCAAAGCCATGGACCTGACTGGTTTCTCAGGTAAACGAGTCGCACGTGCCACACTGCTACTGCCTGACAGGACGTCATTTAGATTTAAAAAAGAAAAAACTAATAAAAACAGACAGGAAGTAGCTTCATTTCTGTCTAAAAGCAGATATTAGAGGTTGAGTGTTTTAGTTTTATTTTGGTTGGCAGCCGGCCAGAAGCACAGCGACATAAAGAGATGAAGCAACAGTTTTATTATTCAGAACAAGATGCCATAAATATGCTGCCAGAACAATCTGAATAAAAGATTAGCTTTTATACAATTTGGCAACAAAGACACACTTTTTTGTTTTTGTTTTTGTTTTTTTTAAGGTTAGCTGGACTAGAATTAAATGCAGAGATGTGATTCAGGTTTTTAAATCCAGGGGTCAGAGGATCTACTGAAACCCTCCCATTTGGACATTTTACAGATAAATAAAAATACTAAATATGGCTCCATAAACATGTTTAGTATCTGATGCTGTGAATAAATGTTAAAATGATGACTTTACAACAAAACAACCAAATAAAGGATCAATCAGGCTTTATGACTGGGTTATAATTTATGTCGTAAACACTTGTTATAAGACAGTTTACATATGCTAGCTCGTTATTGGGCAAAGGCCTTTGATTTACTGTTTATTTATCAGTTGTTTGCTTCTTTTTCAGTTTTCTTCATTTCTAATGGGTTTTTTGTTTTTGTTTTTACCTGAAAAGCATTTTAAATTAAACAGTATCATGAAGCGCAATAAGGTAGAAAAAAAGGTAAGAGTTTTAATTTAATAACTAGTTACTAATGGTTTATAAAGTGTGTATACATGTGTCGCCCCTTTTAATTAATATTAACTCTTGATTTAGAAAAAATTCTGACTCCACGGGCTGCATAACAGCAACAACAACAATCAAACAACAGGTTTTTGTATTAAATATAATCAGAAATGAATTTGCCAGCACTTAATAAATCAATAAGAACAGCCGTAGCTTTAGAGACAGAAAGACTCGTCCACTCAAAGTAACTGGTCCTCGTGTTGAAGCATCCATGAGTTCAATAAATGTGTTTATTGGGACGTGACAGAAAATAAAACGCTGCACCAATCAACTGATTGAAGCTGTCAGGAAGAAAAGAGCTCAATATAAATATAAATATAAATATTAATATTAATATAAATGTCATCCATTTAAATGCAGGGAAGCATGGTGAAGGAAATTACCAAACTTATTTACTGAATAACTCTTCAGATCAATGGAGCATTATTTCATTGATTGTTTCCAGAAGTATAAATTATGAATGACTGATCTGACGGTAGTTTGTTATAAACAGAAGTTTTCATTGAAGCTAAATCAGCTGCTGTCATTTGAAGCAGCTGTGGTTCAGTAATGATGTCAAAAGTTTTTATTTCTCTCAGGTTTGGTGATTGATTTGATTTATTTATTTAACAGGAAAAGATTATTAAAAATCAAGCCTGACTCAGCATAATTGCTGTTTTACAGCAGGTTCCTGTTCTGCAGCACATAAA